GAAAACATTGATTAGCATGACAAACTTTGTGATTAATATATAAATATATATATCAATGTGAATATATATATATATATATATATATATATATATATATATATATATATATATAATCTTATAAATATAAGCAGCTATACTCGTCCGGCAAAACCTTACGTGTTTTAGCTTGTAAATGAACAAACCAATATCCGGGGGCGGGGAACGGTAGAAAAAGAAAGAACTAAGAATATGTACTTCCGGCGAAAATAATCATCTAGAATAAAAGTTTAGAGTCCAAAGAAAAAAAAAACAGTTTACCCTGAGGATCCGCGTAGGTAAAACCTAGGTAGGTTTGTCTGGCTCTTTAGGTTTACTTACTATATATATATATATATATATATATATATATATATATATATATATATACAGTGGGGGAAATAAATATTCGTACACATAAAAAATTGTATTTTTATAAATGGAAAAGCCTTAACTAAAACAAATTTTGATAATTTTATGTGTAAAGATACACTTTATTAAAAAATAGTAATAAACTTAATTAATTCTTATTCTAACAGAAATTAATGCATTTTTTTCATTTTAACTGATGAAAAAAGTATTCGTACAAAACAAAAATAGCATATTAACTTAATTTAATACTTTGTGGAATATCCTTTATTGAGTTCAACAGCTACCAGTCTATTCCTGTACGTCTGAACTAATGATTTGCACACATTGAGTGGTATTTTGTCCCATTCTTCTTGGCATATAGTCTTCAAATTCTTGATATTTGTTGGTGCTCTTTTCCCAATTTGAATTTTCAAATATCGCCATAAATTCTCGATTGTGTTCAAGTCTAGGGTCTGACTTGACCATTGCAAGACATCAACGTTACTTTCAGCTGACCATTTCCTTGTAGATCTAGTGGTATACTTAGGATCAAGTTGGAAAACCCAATCAGGAGGTAGCCAAAGTCTCTCAACAGAACGCATTAAATTGTCTTGCAGGATTTTCTGGTATTTTTCGTCATTCATCTTGCCATCAATTATTGATATTCTGCCAACACCTTTTGCAGAAAAACAGCCCCAGGTCATGATACTGCCACCACCAAACTTTACAGTTGGCAACGTGTTCTTTGGTAAGTAGGCTTCACCGTCCTTCCTTCACACATGATTTCAATAATTATGACCAAACAACTATTTTAGTTTCATCTGTCCATAGTACTTTTTCCCAAAACGAATATTCTTTATCCTTATGATCTCTAACGAATTTTAGCCTAGCATCTCTGTGTCGTTTCAAGAGGAGTGGAGTCTTCCTTGGGATGCATGATTTCAGACTGTTTTTTTTGTTTTTTTTGTGTAGTTCATTACTTATTGTACGCTTGGTTACTTTAACCCCTAATGCACGCAGATGTTCCTGAAGCTCTTCTCGGGTAACCTGTTGATATTGTTGGATCTAACGTCCTAATATCCTTGCTGATCTAAGAGAAATTTTCTTCGGAGCACCTGTTCGTCTTTGGTTTTCGACGCTGTTACGAGTTTTAAACCTTGCAATGAACGAAGCAAATGTAGTAAAAGGAATATTCAGGTTGTTAGAAATCATTCTGTAACTGTTCCCATCTTTCCAAAGAGACAAAATGTGTTGTTTTTGTAAAATAGTCAATTTTTTACCTTTAGGCATTATTAGAACCTTCTTGTAAGACGAGAAATTGCAGAATTCTCTGATAATGGCTAATAGCGTTAACTATAATTACTGATAACATTACTCGAATATTCTAGAATATACCTTTTTCATAATTAATTGATTATTTTATTCTAATAATTGATTTGTACGAATACTTTTTTCACCAGTTAGAATTTAAAAAATACATTCATTTCTGTTAGAATAAGAATTAATTAAGTTTATTATTATTTTTTAATAGTATGTCTTTATACATAAAATGTGCCGAGATTTGTTTTATTTAAGGCTTTTACATTTATAAAAATACAATTTTTCAAGTGTACGAATATTTATTTCCTCCATTATATATATATATATATATATATATATATATATATATATTGATAGCTAAGAATAAGCAAAATTTATATGGTATTTTTTAAAAAACTAAAAAAGAACAACCGGTTTTGTCCCAGCCTTATCAAGTTTATTTCTGGGATATAAAAATATATAAGCGTGTGAATTAAATTAATATAACGAATGGAAGGGAAAAATGAATTTCAAGAAACTAGAATCCAATAACATTCAGACCCAGTAAGCATTCCCTCTGTTTACAAAGGGAAGGCCCATGGGATCTGATATACAAGAACCTTGAGATGATATGAGGAGTGGGCCCTAGATAAAATCGAAAAACGGTCAGTACTAAAATCAAACACACAATTCCATCTATTTATTACATGCTCTACAATAGAAGAGCTAGAAGTATTGGTTAGTTGGCTTTTCCTAGCATCCGGATTCAAAATCCTAGGGGGGGGGGGTAAGTGTTGTTTTATTCTCAGATCCAAACGCTGGGACGTCCTCCCTATGTAGTCGAGTCAACAACTACACTTATATTTATAAGTCACTGAATTAACATATGCATGTATGTACGTATGCATGTATGCATGTGTATATGTATACTAAAAACGATCAGAATTCATCTCAAAATGTAAACACGAAAACGACGTTACTTAAAAATCGAAAACTGAAAACGAACAAGAATAAACGAAAAAAAATGAAATAAAATAAATAAAAAAGAATAAGTAAAATAAATGAATCCAAACTAATAAATAATTAACTAAATTGAGTAAATAATAAACAAAATAACAAGGTACGAACACACACATAAACACATGTATACGAAATAACAACAGTCAACAATAAAATAATCAATAAATGAGTTAATATACAACACGAAATAGCGCCAAAACTGTATACAGAATCACAATTATTTCCACCCACTTGGCCTAGAATAATTTGAAACATAATCGTTACCGCGCGCCAAAACAACCATTAAAACAATACAATAGACTACCCACAATGCATCATTGACCTACCTGCATATATAAACAGTCGAGCGAAAAACGGCGCATATGGTAAATAACACTGTTGCCGCTGAGTGCTGACTTTAATATCCACTTTCATATATATATATATATATATATATATATATATATATATATATATATATATATGTGTGTGTGTGTGTGTGTGTGTGTGTGTGTGTGTATGTACATAAATAGATATATCGTGTATATATATATGATTATTAGGTAGCTGTTATAACATGTTGATGAATGTTTGTATTCAGTTCAGTTCTATAATCATCCAAGTGGCATATTCTGAATACTTTTAAGATTCGACCGCTAGTTTTTGCTTTCGACATTTTACAATTTCTGACACGATGTATCTGCCACTTGCACGCACCGATGATCTCTTTAGTTTGGAAACGCGAACGAACACACACACACACACACACACACCCCCCACACATACACATACACATACACATACATATTTATATATATATATATATATATATATATATATATATATATATATATATATAATCTAATCTATGAACTATCGACATCTAAAGAGGTTAGTTCTTTATAGAAGTCACGATTTCATTACTTGCACATCGTTTTGTACTTAGAAGGAACACAAGAGTAAAATCCTAAAACATCCTAGTTTCATTAATCTTTTCATAATTGAAATTTCTGGCAAACCTTGGAAAGATCTCAAATCTTTTTACATCTGTATCTTTAATCACGAGTGTTTTTTAAGAGAATTTACTGAAATTAGTCACACAAGTGAGAAAAAAATATACTGAATTATCCTCAAATTAATTAAACTGTTGTATTTTTCCATCTTGCTTGGTTTATTTCAATAATTTGAATCAATTTTAGTATTTATTGTATAACATTCAGAATCTACATCTTACCTATACACACATTAACACACACACACACACACACATATATATATATATATATATATATATACATATTTCATAATTTTCTGCGGGGTACAGAATTTTATTATAGCAAAAAAAAAACTTATTCAACTTTTCATGATTAAAAAGAAAAACGAAAAATAAAAATAATAACAAAACCAACCTGTTTTGCCCTCACTCAACTGAGCTGGGTCGAGGGATTATATATTACAAGGAAATAAAACATAAAAACGATATGTAATATTAATGAAGGCGGAATACAATTTAAATTGAAATCATATTTAGTCCTAAGAGACACTCCCTTTGTCCACAGAGCAAAGGCTGTCTGCACCGAACGTAAATTGTTTCCAACGACTTTATCTGCAATATAGAGTGAGCACGACTCAAGATGGTAAACGATGGTTAAAATTTTAATAAGATGCTCTGCGATAGAGGAACCATACATGTTTTTTCAGAACGTTCTTTAGTCGCAATGTTCCATTCCTGACTTTTCTAGGTTTATGCTGCTATATTCTAGCATCTAATCGTTGGGTTGTTCTACTTATGGCGTCGGCATTGCAACTACATTTAAAAGGATAAATAACATTATGAATATAGTAGTGACGGTGGTGGTGGGTCGAACATTCTTTTGGGAAGACGTCAAAACAGATTTAGTAGAAAACAACACACACACTAGAAGAGAAATAACAATGGTCTACTGCAGAGGTAATTTGTTTGGCTAATTTCTCATTTACTGTGGCCAGCCAAGGCAAACGATAATTTACTGGGCATGTAAAATTATGTTTTCGTATCTGCTTAAAAATATGATATTGAACACTTTATCCCATAAATATAGCACACCTTAAAATTATATTTCTTCATATATATATATATATATATATATATATATATCTGCGAGGACTCCTGATAATTTATTGTTCGATCCACGACACAAAATTTGCACGAATGACTTAATAATATCATATACGTTTTGATAAAAGCTACTTGGTTAGGTCGAGATCTTTTTAAGCATCTCTTTTCTCCATGGGAGTGACGTTCTGTGTACTTTGTTGCCGGGAACTGTATGAATACAAGGTCAGAGTCTCAGCGGATGTTGGGCCACAGTCGAAGCAAACAGCACCCAAACATTTTGATCTCTGTATTCTTCATTCGCTTCGGCGCTCACGATTCCATTCCCAACAATTCTCTTTTCCATCCTTCTTTCCCTCTTCCTACGGCCCCACAGGCTTTTCATCTCTTCCCTCACCTTTACACATCCTCATTCCATTTTATTCCCTCAACCCTCACGATTTTTCCTGACAATTTTTTTTATTCCTTTTCCCCATACCGTGTTCTTTCTCTTCAAGTCTTCTCTCTTTTCTACTCAGTTTGTTTCATACTTCCTCGCCTTTTTCATACTCCCCCCCCCCTTTGTTTTCTTCTACTCATTCTGAATTCCCTCTTTGTTCCATTTTGATCTTTTCTCTCGAGTTATTTTGATATCTGCTGATTTTAGTTTAAACAGGCTAAAACTAAACTGTGGCAAATTGGGATAGGAAGATTGTGTTGTAGCAATCTCTTAAATGGGGAGGAGACGTATAGTTTGAATATTAGCATTCGAGGTATTGATTTTAACATGACTCGAATATCAATCAGTGGTACCTGAATTAAAAACGCAACAGACTTAGCCACCAAACAGGTGTATGCTTTCTTCACTACCGTTTTTTCTTTTTCTTTTCTCGTTCCTTTTATTTAACTCTAATGCGAAACTTTTTTTTTCTTTGTTTCATATAAACATTCTTTTTCTTTGCCTTATATTTTCTTCAGTAAATAAATAAAAAATTATATTTCCTCTCACTAAATTTCCTCAACCTTTTTTTCTTTTTTCATTCCTTCCAAGAGCTGTTCCTATTTCCTTGCAACTTAGTTTTTTCCTCATTTGCAAACTCCATTTAATCCTTTTAAGATATCTGTCATCCATTTTATAATCTTTTTCTTTCTTATAACCTCGTCTCCATCTTTCTCTCTCTCTCTCTCTCTCTCTCTCTCTCTCTCTCTCATTTCTTAATTTCCCAAACCCCTTACTCTCATACAACATTCCTACATCTCTTTATCTAAAACCTCCCACCTTCTCTTCCTTGTTTTCATTCTCCCACTACTCTCTCTTTTCCTTCTTCCGTTTCATCTACACATGTTCCTCCCCCCGCAACTTTTGGAACACAATTTGGCACCGCCTCGCTCTGGACCCAGACAGACACATGTGCCAGTAATGGAAAAGCTTATAATTAGTTTCTTGTCTACTGAGTCCGAGCCAACCGAACGAATTCTGCCTTAAAAGAAAGCTTCAGAGAATCCCAATTCCTTGCAGGTTCGTTTTTGTTGTGTTGGACAAAAAAAGTGTTTCTCGGTCAGTTTTATGAAGTCAGAAATAAATTGATACTTTTTTCTTTTCTCTTCATTTCTTTAGAAGTTTTTTTTTTTACAGAAAAAAGAAAATGCACGTGAATGCAAAACACACTTATAAATTAAATTTGTCTTTGACTGAATATCTTTGACAGTTTCTCTCTCATTTTGCATACACACACACTCACATACATATAAACACACATATACACGCGTGCACACACACGAACATACAGACACACATATATATTGTTTAAGATGCGGTGAAGAGACCTCAATTTCAAAATTAGAGCCTTTATAGATATAGTGTGAGTATAGAAATCAACACTGCATGGTGACTGTCAGTTTCAGATTTCAGAGCGATCTTCAGACCAAGTGCTACTAACTTATCGGGCTGTATATAAATCAGGTTGTGTATATAGGTGAAGATTCAATGAAGAATGGAAAGAAAAACCATCACTTCAAATTTTCTTTTGATCGGGGTTAATATTAAATATCCAGCCGGAGTGGTATGAAATGGCAGTGAAGCGTTAAATTAAGTTTTACTATTTAGTGTTGATGTCCACAGTTTTGTCCGAATGTCTTCGATCGAGTTCTTTCAACCATTCTACTGGTCATTTTCAAGATCAGATATTCAAATGCACTAAAATCTCAGTGTGGTCGTTATTTTTTTACACTGATATCACGGACATATGACTAGTGAGCGAAATTCTTCATCGTCAGTTGTTAAATTCAATTAAAAACGCAATTCCAGCGTTGGAGAAACTCTATTTAAAACATAAACGGCAATAGTTAACGATATGTTAAAAATCACCCTCGTTTGTCGTTTTTAAAGAAGCAAACAGACAAACACACACACGCACATATATATATATATATATATATATTATATATAATGGATTAAATCCGATATATATTTTTAACATATTTTCTGATTATACGCTATTTTTATGGATAAAACTTAACTGAGTAAACGCTCTTTTTTTAATTAAACTTTATTAATGGCATTTACCGGACTAAATATTCCAGAAATTTCGGATGAAATATGTGTCCTCCGCAGGAATTGAACCTGTATCCGATGTAAAAATCGTCATTTAGCTTGACGTGCTGTTACCAGATTCAGCCACAGAGGACTTCTGGTTAAGCAAAGCTCAAATTACTGCTTATAGACACACACATTCGACGACCTTTCTCGATACGTAACCTAAAGTAAACAATGACAACATATTATATGTAATGGATTAAATCCGATAAATATTTTAATATATTTTCTGTTTATTCGTTATTTTCATGGATACAACTTAATTGAGTAAAACCGATTTTAAATAAATAAATTAAATAGTATTAAATTTAAATAAATAAATTAAATAGTATTAATTATATTTACAGGCCTGAATATGTTCCTTTAATAGCAAAATTGTTTTCAAACATTTATACCAAAAGCCGCTATAAATTCAGCAGATAACGAAGAAAAATATACATAGGAGTAGCTGAAAAAGCCTAGAAACAGAGTACGTACACAAAACATCATTTGCACATAGTAAATACGCGAACAGTATAACCCTTTCTAAACATATATGGGAAAATAAACCAAAAACAAAAATACACCAAAGATATCATGGAAAATAAGGAAAGCAGCATCGGCCTACAATAGATAAATCCGAAAATTATAATTCTGTCTGGAGGTGAAAATAACTATAATCACATTCTTAGATTTTGCTTTCTAAATAAATAATCAAAACTTATCTCAAATCACAGACAGGATATCGAATTTTTACTACGTTAATTAAAATTTGAAAGGTAAAAAGGAATGCCTTCTGAAACATCAAAAAAGAAAAACAAACAAAACAAAACAAAAAAACTCGCAAATATATGCCTATATATAATGCAGATAATATAGCTTACTTTAAACAAAGCTAATACCTTCAATTAAACAAGAAAACCAACGCCACAAAAGAAAAATACGAACATTATGAAAATACGAATGCACACATAAACACAAGTAAATGTAATAATAATAGAATGCCTACAAATAACCGCAATTTTGATCCACAATTATTTCTACTGAATAATCTTTAAAATAATTGGATTTAAACAATAAGCGTTAAAAATCTATATAAATTATTTACAGTGTTATTAATTTTTACAAGCCTAAGGTTAGCCCGAAGGCTTTTTCTTCAAATTAATCTTCTTCTTCTTCTTCTTCTTCTTCTTCTTCTTCTTCTTCTTCTTCTTCTTCTTCTTCTTCTTTATCTATCTATCTATCTATCTATCTATCTGTCTATCTATCTATTTATATAAATAAAGCGGAGTGTCCATTTGTCTGTCCGTTTTTCGATCTCACGATTTATGCATGAACGTCAAATAAACATGCACTTTGGCTCACTGGCCGGTTCGCATTCATTCAAACGCTAATCATGAGAACAATGGAAGTATTAATTTTCATCATTTACAGCATTATTATTTCAGCCTGAAGGTTTTTCTTCACATTAATTAATCTATATAAATAAAGTGCAGTGTACGTGTGTCCGTCCGTCTGTACGTTTTTTCAATCTCGGCATAGTAACAGGTACAAAATACTGTAGTTACACTGGATTAAAATTAAATAAATAAATCATTTAAAGTTAAATTTAAATATCAAAGTGAAATGTTTAAAAAAAAATTCTTTATTAAAAGTTTAAGTTTAATTTTACTTTTCATCTTTTAAGAGTGACTTTATATGAAGGGAACATAAAGAATTCTGATTTTAAAAGAAAATAAAAATTGCGTGTAAAATAAATATAAACAAACTACGAAGATCTGTTGCGTATACGAAGAAAGATTCAGCCGAATTAAGGTGTCGAATAAAGATGAAATAATTTTATTATTAATAAATTTTTATAACTTTTACATACATAGAAAGCTGGAGGTAAAAGGCCGAAGGCCCAAAAGCGCTTGGTAGGTGCTAGCCCCAAATCCACCTGAAGTGCAGCTTCTAGCTAGTAATATAACAAACCGGAAATAGTTGATCTTGCTACTCATAATACACTATTGAACAGTATATATAAACAGTGGAGCCATCACATAGAACACATGGTCTGAAGACTGAGTTCAAACATGAAACATGACTCTCGCCACTCGGTGTGGACTTTCAAACATTTATATGTATATATACTGGGAGTATACCGGTAACTCGACTAGTACATAAAAATTCTCAGACCGAGGCAATTTCCAAAATTCCAGTATTTCAATGACCAAAATTCACAATGCTCATTCTATATCGAACCAAGGACATTTGAATACCTGATATATATATATATATATATATATATATATATATATATATATATATATATATATAAAAGAATAATCACACATAGAATTAATCAGAAGTATCAATGCGATTATTGACGACATCCATCGTTAGAAAACATAATATATGCATTAAAAATCCTGTTCATCCATAGTGCGAGTTTTGATCCTTGAAGAAAACTTGTTGTCTGTAGTTTTTCAGTTTATTTGATGTTAAAATGCTAGTATTTACGGACAGTCTTCCATCCATCATCAGGCATGTGTTTTTTCCCTATAAAAAAAAAAACTTGAGACGATATACCTGTATGTCGACCGAAAGATGTTTTTTGAATATCTGCTATTATTGACGGTTGTAAGATATCGGAACGTGCAAAGACGCAACGCTAAGTTTTTCAAAATTTTTACATACAAAGAATAATCACACATAGAATTAAATCATATGCTGCCTAATGTTTTATGTTTATTAAAAACTATCGATCCGCAGTACATAAAAAAAAATTTCTATAAAAAATTACTACTATGACATTACACTATATTATTGAACTATATACTTAGTTCATGACATAAAAACTGAATACACTTGTAAAAATAGAATACGTGGATTTAACACATCACAAGAAATATTTAAATAAAATTCTCACTTAAAAATTTAAATAATAATCGCATTGATACTTTGATTAATTATGTGTGATTATTCTTTGTATGTAAATCATATGCTAATGTTTTATATATATATATATATATATATATATATATATATATATATATATATACACACACACACATATATATATATATATACTTCATACACACATACACGTACACACACACACACACATATATATATATACTCCATACACACACACACACATATATATATATATATATATATATATATGCTATTTAACACACTAAAATTAAACAACTGCTGTTTTTACCATAACTTCGGTCATCATTTGATATATATATATATATATATATATATATATATATATATATATATATGTGTGTGTGTGTGTGTGTGTGTGTGTTATAGTGTTTGAATATCGACCTAATCCCCTCTAATTACACTCCGGTTGAGCAGCATGATGTTTATACATGTGCATACAGGCTTCGGTCCCTATACAATTTCCTACATAGATTCACACACAAAGCAGCAGTCATTTGTCTGTTTTCTGACGCCGTTTAGACATGCGCACTCGCAGCTATAGAAATCGCTGCCAAAGCACAGTAGTGAATCTTGAAATCGAAACCGACGTTGCACGCCATATTAACCGCCTCAGCGGGCAGATGGCGCTGCTGTGTCTTACACCACATAATACGCTGCTATTAAAATCAGTCTTGCTTTCTCAACGACCTTACATTGGGCTTTCGCCAATGGAGACACCATGTTGGATAATACTGATTCTCTCTCTTCACACAAC